TATTAGAGTGTCCAATATATAGTTTTACTCCGGGATGATTATATTGGTTTAAACTAATCTGAGTTTTGGAGAGAATTGCAGATTAATAGTCTGATCTGCAGTGTTAAGAATTTAATTGATTTATGTATATTAAAATGTTTTATCGTTTCAAAATACTTATTATACATAGTTTACATTTGGTTATATTTAACAATTTGACGATACAATTTACATTTTCTGATTAAAACAATGTAAAGAGTTAATTAGTAGCAATATTGTTTCAATAGAGGTTTAATCTTACATCTAATTTTATTGAGAATAATAATATTTGTATTTTGCTTGAAATTGAATATTTTGTGTTAATATTGTAAATTATATTCCTGTTGACCATTGGTACAATTTTATTTGTTAAGTGAAGGTAAATTCATCACTTATTTTGCTTTTAATATGTATACAATTTTCATATTATATAACTACTATATTAACGCACATTTGATATGCGTTATATTGTTTAATTAACATTTTCGAAATTTTGTCATGTATATTTTCTCAAAATTGTTATATATGACTAATATTTCAAGTTAACGAAACTAGCAGTATTTAACATTATTTTATAAACTTTTTCACAATTAACTACCAATTATTTATTAATTAAACCATAGCTACAATTTGTTATATTAATTTATTGTAGTACGATATTTCTTTTAAATTAAAATTTAGAATTAAATTTAAAAATGTATAAAATATTGTAAAAATAGCCATACTTCAATAAATAGTTCATATGATAATTAATGATTATTAATGATATTTAACACAATTAATTTATTTATCATATAAAATGTTATTATATCTTAACCAAATTATATGATGAACATATTTATATGATAATTTTAATTAGTTTATCTGTAATCAAGATTGAATAGTAAAATATCTTCTGCGAACAAATTTAATATGTAAAATTGTATTATTTATTTAATAAGAAATTATTATACTTTCAATGTTATTGAATAAAATTGAAAACTATCCAATGCATAACTATTGCTCACATGTGTTGTAACTTTTGGCAGCATCTGTTGCACATAAACTATCGTAATTAAACGTTTCAAAATCCGTTTATTTTATGCATCCACAAATATTGTTTTAATTTCACAATTAACTTTATTAATAAAAAAAAAAAGGTTAAAGCATATTTATAATTATAATTTTTAAAAACTCATTAATATATAATTAGTATTATAAATATTTTTTAATTGCTTGTTGTGATTAAATTATTTTTTAAAAAATTATAATATTGACACTTTAACCATGATTAAATGAAAAAATTGTATGCGAGTTGTTTATAATTTATTTGTTTAGTTGTATACCTACTATTTTAAATTGTGACGTATATATTAATTTATTATAAACGACTTATTTCTATTTCTTATTTATAAGTACATTTATACTCCCTTATAAAATTTGATTATTTTTACAATTTTGTTCAATAAATTGGTTTTCTTGTAACAGCAGTAAGTATTTATTGTATATAAACTTGAACAATATTATTTTTATTCAAACAACTAGACTATATATATCAGAGAACAACTCAAAATATAGTTAAAATAATGTGGATAACGTAATATTATTATGGTATTCCACATATTATACATGATTGAAAAATATTATCCATTGCTAGTTACAATTCAATATATTTTAATAAAAGAGGATAGAAAATATTAGTATGAAATTCATATTGTGAACAAGATAATATTATTGATAAATTTGCTCTATCTCTAGTGTTCAGTTTTTGGTTTTATTATTGTTTTAATCTCATTATGAACAACGACAAGATCAGCTAATTTTAAAACGAACTGTTGATGTTGTTTCCATTTCTTGCATCTATAAGGAACTTTATTTAATATTGTATTTAATTAAAATGTATTTTAATAAACCATTACAATTATTAATTGTTTCAACTTTCAAATATGACATTTTACAAGTACTTTTAAATTGTGGTTCTCACTAATTAGTGCAATCTACAACTTTATAAGGTTATGCAATAGATTTGACTTCAGTATTCCAAGTAAATCTTAGTTAATTACGGTTGTTAAGGATGATAATTTGTTAATTAGTTTTTGAGTTCTTACGAGGACGAACAATTTTATAATTAAACATGAGCATGATAATAATAACATAATAATTATATTAACATGAAAAATCTCAACAAATGTATTAATCTGTTGACATTGTGCTTTTATTTTTTTATTTTTAAATGGCTGATGCTCACTAATAAATCAACAAGTTAAAGTAGTGATTGCTAGAATATAGACAGTTCAAAACTTTGTTATATAAATTGGTAAAAGGAAAAAAGTGCTAAGTGACATTTTGGACTAAAAGACATAACGGACATTATTGGACAATCGACAATTAAGCATTCGATCACACAAGCGTTAATGTTCCTATGACCATTTAGTAAAGAAATATTTTCAGGCCCGTAATTACAAAAATGTCTGTCGGAGGCAACATAAAATTTGCCACCCTTCCCCCCCCCCCAAAAAAAAAGAAGAAAAAAAAGTACTATATTGATATTACACAATTGTAGAAGTAAATAATAGGAAATAGTTACATTAATATAAAACAAAACTTAGTAATAACCAATATATTATTTAAAATAATTTTTAAAATAACAAAAGGAACTTGAAAAATAAAAATGTTCAATAAATGTATAACTTCATAACTTTTTTGCGAGATTGTTTTGATGTAAATGATTTAATAAAATCATCGTAAATAATTCGTTCCTACTTTTAGCGCTCATCATATTTAAGAGATAGATACTTCATAATACGAATAACATTTCATACGACCAATATCTGTCTTGTTTATTTTATTCGTTTTTCGTACCGACTGAGAATAATTCCAATTTATACTCACGATTATTGAATTATGATTTTGTTTATTTAATAAACTCATTGTTATATAATACAAAAATAATTATTTATTGTATCAGTTTAATGTTATTACTTATTCTAAAATAATTACCAATAGTATAACTTGTGTTAGTATTTCTTTGAGCTTACTTTGATTAATTATAAAATGTTTTTATTTGTTGCTAAGAAATAAACTATAGTTAATTTTACTTGCGAAGATTTTAAATTAATAAAATTTAAACTGAGACTTTCATTAATGCAACTAAAAGACTGTTTTTAATTTATTAAGAACATTCTTAAAAATAATAACTTTATAATGTAAAGGAGTTTGGCACTTTTTTTCCTCTAATTTTATACCAATGAATAAATTTGTAATTTTTGGTAATGATCTTATATTTTGAATTGGTACTGCGGTATTTATTAAAGTTTCAAGAATGATATTTTGTTTATTATTTGTATAAAATTAGTGATAAACAAAATTTCAACTTCCTTTGGCTGTAACAAATAATTATTTTTAAAAATCTAAGGACACTAAAAACAATTCATCAGATTCAGTTTCAATTTAAGTTTAATTAATTACAAATCTTTGCAGGTAAAATTAACTATATTTTAAGTTTAAGTAACTAAAAAGAACAACATTTAAATATTTAATAAAATCAAATTCATAAGTAAATATTATGTCGCTTTTGTAAAATTTGTAAAATTAAACACCTCATTACTAAATGGTCAGTTGAACTATGGAACTTGTACGGTCAATTGCTTTAATTGTCGGTTGTTGCGTAGTGTCCAAAATGTTACTTACCTCCTTTTACCAAGTAATAGTCGATATCATCAATCAATGACAAAACGTATAGAACATAATATAGAAAATATTCGTATACAATTTTTAGACAAGATAAAGAAGATGGTTTTGAAAAATATTTTAATCGTTTTAGTATACATATTTCATACATTTACACAGTTAAAATTATGTAATATGTAAACTATTTCATATATTTCACTATTTCAATAAACATGTTCTTACATTTATCCAAGCTTACTGAAATTTACTTCAACTTTTACTTTTCTTATAGTATGATTCTTACTCGATGCAGATTATATTAAATCGTGAATTTCAAATCAATGATCGTTTTATTTATTTTTGTCTTTTTAACCCTTACAATTGATCGTTATGCTAAACAAATTATTTCTAGTCAAGTTTAATGTGCATAGAATTTGTCCTAATATCTAATAAGTAACAGTATTGATGGATTTGTGGTATTTGAAATTTGTTCAAAATTAATTTGAATTTTCCGATTAAATAGCCTATGTCTATGTTTCATTAATTACAAATTATTCTGCATGAATGAGTTTAAAGTTCATAAAATTAATTTAAGTTTACTACATTGTTAACATTACCAAAAGGCTGAAATAAAAACATTTTTACTTTTTATTAAATATTCTATTTATTTATAATAATTAATTTTCAATTCTATGATTTATAATTTATAATTATATGTTTGAAACGTAAATATTTTTATAAAATACATCACGTGTTCAAATATACTCTTAAAGTATATACAATCACATATTCAAGGTATAAATTTCCATTACTTCAATAACTCACTCTAAAATGTTTGATCGTTCTTATTTATATCATTATTTTGTTTAATCATGTGATGACTGAAGTATATTTTATCAATTTAATTTAATTTAATTTACTTGATACATGTTATCTTTTAAAACTCGCATGTTTTTTCAACTTCATTTCTTGGGTTATAAATACATAGTGAGAAAGAATTTACTCGCTACAAAAACTGTACAGAAACTTAAAACTTTTTTATAGGTGTCTTGCGTGTACTTTTTAATACATTATATAGTTCACTTTTTGATAGTCACCTGCAGACCGATTGATAAACATAACATAGTATTAGAAAGTCAAACATCAATGAACACAAGGATGTTAAATTTCAATTTTACAAAACCATGGTTATCATTATCTATTTATTTTTTTAAACTAACTAAATATAATACAGTTATTTTAAATGAAAAAAAAAAGACTAAAAAAAGACTTGAAGAAAAAAAGAAATATATCTATTACAATAGTTTTAAAAATAAACGGAAAAATTTATACTTTTTTTTGTGACTACAATTCATTGTATACATTTTAATAAGTTATAATTAACGATTAAGGCATAAAATATTTACGTAATCGTGCTCCTTTTTCGACTATTGCAAGCTGATGAAATGTGGAACCAATAAAACCAGTACTTTCTGGGAGATTTGATTGAAATTGTACATATAACCTAAATAACATTTATAAAAATTATTAGTTATTATATAACTTAAACGAGAATTTCCGATTATTAAATTTAAATAGACAAAAATGAAAAACCAGTGCACATAGGATATATTTAATCAGATATAATGTATATATTATGATTAATGAGCTGTAATAGATAAATCGATATAAAAAATGACGGTAAATGTAGGGCAACAAATCATTATGACTCTTTTTTTCATTTTTATCAACAGTGATCTTTGAACATTCATGCCTATATTTGACGGTTTCATACCAGATTTTGTTTTTGTTCATCGTAAATAATATATTAGCCATATAAAATAATAATAATTAGTGATATAAAGATAAATATACTTTTCACGAAATAAATGTAAAAATGCATATAATTTTGAATTTTTATATAATCTTAATTGTATTTTTGTGAAAATAATAAGTTTGGTTTTAGTGTTTCAGAATCTATGAGATATTAAATTAAAATTATAAATTATTGAATGGTAAATACTCATAAATTAATATATAAATAAACAAATAGTTTATACAAATAGATTAATAAATAAATAAATAAATACTTTGCCTGCAGTAATATTATTAGTATTTGTAAATTACGAAAAGTTTCGAATAAAAAATTCATTGTCAGGTTACTCGTACTTTAAGTTGCGATTTTATTAACTTTGTATACTTGTATACCTGATGACACATTTTTAATTTGAAACCTATCATAATTTGCAAATATAATAATACTACAGGCTAAGCATATATTTATTTATTTATTTTTAAATACGTGTATAAACTATTTGTTTATTTATATACTGAAAAATACTTTTTTTATACATTAAATATGCGTAAATTTGCTGCAAAAATAAAGAAAACAATAATTAAATTAATTAATTTTAAATATATTATTTTTAAAATAATAAATCGATAATTCCTATTGCATTGAAATTTAAACAAAATATTATAATTATAATCATACTTGTTTTTTGGAATTCCTGTAGCTTCATGGACGTAATCTGTTAGAGCAACAATATGTTTTTTATTCTCTTCAGGTCCTAAACTTCCAATACTTGTAACTTGAATCAATCCACAAGGCTCGCTGGAATTACCAAGAATCATTTTTAGACCAGGATTCACTGTTGATATGCAAAACTAAAAACAAATTAAATTTATTGTTTGTATATTTACATTTTTAATGATTCAAAAATTCAATAAGATTAAATTTAAATGAAATTTAAATGTAATTGATCGCAATGCATTTTTATAGTTATAAAGACTGTATTTTAGACGAATAGTTAGTTTTGGAACGCTATTTACAACTTTATTTATTTTATTTACATTTAATCTAATTATAGATTATGAATAAATCGAGCAAATTTATCTTTCTGTTTTTTAATCCAATTGGTCTATTTAGTAGTTAGCTTTTTTTTTTTAATTTCAAAAACCCTACAAATAAACCTTTGGATTGCAGTACCAAAAACGTTAAATGGCCTGAGATTCCGTGGGTTTGTAATTAATAAATAATTCTTAATGACATTATATCTTAATATTTGTACGCTTTAAATATAATTTATAAATAACTTAATGGAATATTGTTTTTCGTTTTAACGTGTGCCACAGAAATTACTTTGCATTATGTACTTAACTAACCAAATCTAATTTAATTCTCTCTGTACTATAAAAATTTAAGTTGAATTTCTAGTGTTAAATTAAATGTTTAAAATGTATATCGTTTATCTGTATAATGGCTATAAGAAAAAATGTAGAATATGTAATCATCACATTTTACTTACTCTGTGTGACTTTCCAAGAGTATCACTAAGAACATCTGTACCTTTACTCAAAAATTCCAAAGGAATTTTCGAAGCTGGTAAATTTGTGTCTAATGATAATCGAGGCATTTTATGATTGTATTAGATGTATGGCACTTCAAACAGTGAGATGAAAACGAACTACACTGTTTAATCATAATATATATAATATAAGAAGAGGATATACATTTTTTTTTATGTTACACAACATAATATTATAGGAAAAAATTAAATTATCATTTCTAAACGACTAAAAAAGATTATAAAGCTACAACAACATGATGTATATTTTTTTTATTTAACTCATACTCTAAGTTGCTTTTTGTCAATTGTTAGATAAGTATTATAATTATATTATTTTAATTTTAAATGAACACTGAATAATATAAAAAAAAAAATATATATATATAACGAATTCACGAAGATATATATAAGTTATGTCTTAGCTGAGATTACCTTATCACTTATAAAGCTAGTAAAGAAATAAATAATTTAAATAATTTTATTATTTAAAAATATCCAAATCAACTCTGTCACATCTGTAAAATTGTAAAATAAATTATTGATTCAAAGTTATCGTTTATTTTTTTTTTTATTCTGTATTACCTATCACTAAATTACCAAAATAAATGTTTTAAGAAATTAATTTCAAATGCATATGGTTTATGGTTTTTGAATTTTATAAAAAAAAATCAATAATAGTGAAGAACCTAAATAAGGTATAAATAATCTAGATCTAATTTATTAATGAGATTTTGAACTATTATAGCTCAAAAATTACATTTGATTATTCTACAACAAGTTTATAATTTAATATATTATTTAAATTAGTATTTCATTTTAGATTAATTTTCCCCTTTGAATATTGCTTTTAAATAAGACATTTTAAAGTTTGCCTCTAAAATTTATCATGGTTTTCAATATTATCTACTTAGAAATCTTTACAGTTTTGTCAAAAAACTACGAAGCATATGATGAAAAAATGAATTCTGAAAATACCACCTGTGTACATTTACTTATTATTCAATGGATAAAAACCATTATTTTTTTTTTAAAAGTCAAAATATACTGTTAATAACTATAATTGTTTCTTGTCTATATTTAAAGTATAAAACAATAAAAATCCAATTTCTAAATTTCAGATACTATCAATATATATTATTTTAATATTTTATTTTTCATTAAAAATCTATTTAATACCTAATTATATATTTTTATGATAGTTATAATTATCATCTTGGTGTACTGAAAAATATAATTGTAAATAATAGTTTTGAATTATTCCAAGAAAAAATAAAAATAAATATGGAAAAGCTTGCATTAAATAAACTTACTTTAAATTATAATAATATTATATGTAATAAATATTTATATATTATAAAGTAATGTTTAAATAATGACATGATATATCAATAATTTTGTTTCATAACATAATTTAAGACGTATACTTGTGCAAACTATTTTCAGTGGACATATTTATAAAGGTTAATAATTTGTACAATTTTTATCCAGAATAAGTATATAAATATCGAATTGACGAAATTTGTTTACATAAGTTGTATTTTTTATTACTAAAAATTCAATATTAATCATAAAAGCCTCACATCACAAATTGAAATCTAATGCAATACATATTTGAAATGTATGTTATCTTGTGCGTGACAGTTATATTTTTTGTGGGATTTAATTACTTAAGAAGTTAAAAAAAATGGAGATATCAACACTATACTTTTTACTTTCGTCATTACATAAACAATTTAACAAATTATCATTGAGTAATGTTGTATAATTTGTGTAGTGATATTATTTAAATGTGTATACTTAATCAAATGTATTTATTTTTACTTTACATCTATGTATAATTTATAATTATTAATTTATATTGAAGACATTTATATTCTTATATTACAAATCAAGTATTTAACTTAAGATCAGTTATTATAAATAAATAAATTATAAATGTTGATTTGTTAACTATGAGGGCTCAGAAGTTAATTACCTTAAATTATTAAAAAATGAATAAAAAAAAATGCAAATATGACATAAAAAAGGATAAAACTGTCCTCAAAAAATGACCTAAAAAATTGCGGATAGTTTTTTTAAATTATAAAAATACATTTTTTTTCAATACTTTACTCTACTTAACTATAAATGTTTATCGAAACTTACAAATTCCTCAAAATATAACATAAAAATTACAACAGATATCCTTAAAAATTAAATAAAAAAATTACAAATATTTGCTTTATAAATTTATTAAATCTTATAAATTACTCAAAAATAAAAATCATTGTATTGTACAATTAGAGCGAATTTGATGTTATCACAAATAAATGAACGACGATTATCTGTTAATAAATATTTATATTTGAAAAAACTTCTCTCCACGTCCATCGAAGTGATTGGGAGACGCAGACGAACAATAAATGGCGTTTTATTCTTCAGCATTTCTAAATTATGAAAAAATAATAAAATTTAGATATAATAGGTATTCACAATAACATGACAATGACGGGACAATTGTTATCGGCAAGATAAAACTGGATAAGTACTAATCTATGTCCGTGGTAATTTCCAAGTTATCAGCATAATGGTTGACAGAAAACGGCAAAAAGTAGACTAGTATAAAATCAGTTAAAATTAATAAAAATGTGGAAAAATTATCTAAAAATGTCGAAAAATGACTTAAAAAGTAATAAACACCAAAAAATATAAAATGTATCAACTTCCAAGACCTATTAGTTATATATGTAAGATGCACAATGTAAACCAGGTATTATTTAAAATAAAATGTAACTAATACTCTGTATTAATAAAAATATAAAACTAATTCGGTACAATTATATTTAGTTAGCTAATTTTGTATAAATATAATTCAAATAGCAAATATTTATTTATTTGCAATGAGTGATGTAAAATTATTAAATTAAGTTAGAAAGTGTCTATATTTTAACTTCAGATAAATAAGCCATGTAGATATGCAAATTATAAATATTTTAATATGTGTAACTTTCATTTATAATAGTTTTATTCAAACCAGTTTTAATATTTGTTATATAAAAATCTTATCACTTATTTATATATTATTAACTATTATCATATGTACTAAATTATTTTGATTACATACTTGTACATAATTTATCTTTAAATTAATTTTTTTTATTGAAACTACAACGACAAAGGTTATTTATATTGCTGTACTTATGATTAATGTTAAGTAAAAATAATGGAATAAAATTAAAACTGGTAAAATTGTAATGTAAGTTAATATACTCTTATTATAATAAAGTTCCAATTAAATGGAGGGAGGGGATATCAAACCAGTTCAATAATTTAATGATTATATATAGTAATAAAAATAATGCGATATTTTTGTGTACATGATAACATAAATGACTACAATATTTATTTATAGCTTTGTACAGCACGGTATAGTTAGCATTGTTTTCAAGCCCTGCATAAATATCATATAACTGTACATTATACCATTTTAATGTTTATAATAATAAATAAATAAAATTAATATAATTAAATTCATATATATATATATATATATATATATATATGGTCTTATATAATTATATGTCTTATTTCTTGTGTAATATACATAAAACCTAAATAATATTATTATAACTTGTACATATTAAAATATATAGGTATTTGTTTTCAATTCTAAGAATAGTTTTTATCAAATGTTATCATAGCAAATGCATTTCTCCTTTTCTCTGTCCTTCATCATGTCTTTTAGTTCCGTGTAAATAATGTAAGTAATTCCAGCATCCTTTATTATTTGTCTGATGTATTTTATTCTAGATCTTCTTCTTGGTTGAGTACCAATTATTATTCCTTAAATTATTAGACTATACAATTTGTTTCCATATGTCAATGTCTCGCTCTCATATAATGCTATACGCCATCATAATGTTTAATAAAAAATAATTTAATATTTATAAATATATACGAGTATGATAAATATATTTATATGGATAACCTAAACATTTTAAATTTTTCATAAGTATTATGAATGTATTTAGTAGAAAAAAAAGTAAAATATATTTACATGGGATTAACCAATTTATTTTAGATAACTAATAGTTTTGCTTTGTTAGTTACTTGCTTAGTTAACTGCTTTTACCCAAGCGTATTTATTTTTTATCTAAATGCTTAAATTTTAAAATTATTTCTGTATTAAATTATTTCGTAAATATTCATTTAGATTTTATAACCAATATCAAAAGATTAAGAACTAAACTTTTCCTTTATATTATTTTTTTGTACAACCATAATAATATAACTATATTTTAAATTTAATAATTAGTTCAAATGCTACTTTTAATTATATAATAAGTTATTAATTTTAATTTAAACTCTTTAGAAGATTTTGAATGAATATATCAAATATTATTTAAAGCACTGGAGCTGATTTAAGTAATTTATGCTAAATGTTAAGAGGAAACTTAAAAGTTTGAATAAATGGATTTAAAGAAAACACACTAAGCTCATAATACTCGTTTATATATTATTATTTATGTTTTGTTATATAAAAAAATTGCAATTTTCACTAAAGACTAAAAAAAAAAAAATTAGTATCCCTGATACATATTTTATAATTTATTTACATTAGAAAATCTATACTAATATATGCACTATAAAATACACTAATAATCATTCAGTGAAACTTTTTTTTGAGGATAATTCAGTTGAATTAATGAAAATCATTCGTATAAAAATAATTTAGGATTTCAGTATCATAGTTGAAAGGTCACGATTTATCAGTATGAAAATAATGAATATCGATAGCTACTTAAAATGGGGAGTTGACGACCGCATATCACTCCTAATTATCTATAATTCCCTCATAAAATTGGTTAGACTACGGATCGACTATTTACAGCCTCGCCAACAATATTATCCTAAAAATACTTAATACTGTACAAAACGCTGGAATAAGAATGGCAATTGGGGATTAGGGACTTTTAGATCAAGTCTAGTTAATAATTTATTCTGCGAAGCACACTACCTACTGCTGAACATCAAACAGAAATATCTCATCACAAAATATACAGCCAAAAAGATATCTCCTCCTCAAACACACATACAAATCTCAAAACATTATTATAACTATCCTTGATACCTTTTTATATAAAGTTCCACGACATCCTTGAAGAAATGTCTTTTAACATCAATAACATCAAACATATAGAAACAATCCCTCTATGGACGAGAATCAGGCTTTATTGTTAGGTACAGTAAGACACTAATTGTGCATTAGGAAATATGAAATGTGCAGTTGACTTGACGAATATGTTCAATTGAAAAATACATCAAAATTTACTTTGTCGAAGGCATTTAAAATAATCTATATATTATTTTATTACGTGATATTATCGGTTAGTCACGCGTAGTTTGACAATTTTTCGTATAAAGGTTTCTTTTTATAGAAGTTTGTTTGATTTATTATTCAGTATGGGTGAAGCCCCCCCCCACTTATTACTATAACATGTATTTTATTTGTGCAGTTGGAAAAAATCCTTACAATTAAGCCTAACAAGAACCACATACTAATTGTTATAGAACTTACCCAATTTGACAGAAAAGATAAACCCCAAAAAGATAGTCTGTTAATCAATATGTGTTACAAAATAATAAAAAATTATTAATTAAAAATAAATAATTTAAAAGTCTTTACCACTTCTATACAGATGCTTTTAAAATAACAAAAGAAACCGGCTTCAGTCTTACACACCTTTATGACAATAATTTTCATAAAATAACATATACATTGCAGAAACTTTCGCTATATTCAAATCTAAATGCATTTCATTCTCCACTAACCACGATTAAGTCTTTATCTTAAACAACTCTGAGCGCAGTCACCTGAATAACCAACATACATACGAAATGCAACCTCGCTCTAAGCATTCAAAACATAATCATAAAGTCAATGAGAGACCGCCACATTATTAAGAAAGGGAAGAATTAGAGATATTAGGCACAACACACAAAAACATCAAACTAATGTACGTTTCATCATACATCGGCATTCCAGGCAATTAACTTGTTAACGAATTGATAATGAGAGCGATTAAGTTAGATCTCCGTACACTAAAATATATCCACAAATAACATATGAACATGTAATCTATGCTCTTAAAATCAAATAACATTTTCTGTGATAAATGGGAAGCATAAACAAAATAAAAACAATAAACTTAAGCTAATAAAATCATGAAGTAAAAAATAGCCAAACCCACTAATAAAATTTATACGATATGATTCTTACCTAATGTATAAATAACCGATTCCAGGTGTGAATAGTGTATCTGTGAAAAACGCCCAGACAAAATCAAACATAAATAACATCTCTCCAAAGAAGCGTTCGGCCCCGGTGAAGAGAAAAAATATTAAACTTAATCATGATAGCCAAGTTTATAAGGAACATAAAGGTCAATGAATCAATGATAATATTCTTAAACAAAACGTAACCCTAAGTTTGTAAAATATTGAAGCCTAATAGACCATATATTAAAAAAAAAAAAACTATTCATTGTAAATTTATGGTAGGACTCTATTTGTTAATTTGTTTTTTATTATTTTTTTTATCGAAAAACATTATCTGTGTTGTAATGTTTTTATTTTATACTTTGAAATTACATATATGCAAACATTTGTAAATTTTTAAGATTTTTGAATAGATATAAAAAATATTAAAAAAAATTATCGAAATATAAAAACATCATAGATGTTATCTTTCTTAAAATCAAGAAACAAGAATTTCTAATACAAATATACACTGAATAGCTTTCTCCCGCGTAATATGATTTTTTTAATATCGTCAGTAAATTATCATTTTAGTTTTATATCTATGCAAACGCTTTTACTCGTATTGTAACCCTAAAGTCTCTTTCATGAATCTATGAGCCGTTAAACTTGAAGCACACTTTTGAGTGCCTATTACTCTCACTTAATATTTTTTTGTTATTTTTTTTCATACAATGTAAAGATAAATCGTTGTTACAGCTAATCTAATAATGTTTTACAACTTATATTAATAAAATATTAATAATCATAAATAGGATAAGTAAATTAATAAATCATTTATAAAAAATTATCAAAATTTTATAAAATCTAACTATAAATTAACTGATTATTTGTCAATTAGTTCATTGCAACACTATTATTATAAAAATATATATATTATATAAGTTATTTATTCCGGAACATCCGAGTTGGGTCCCGAGTACTAGGGATTAATAGCAAGTAGTGTACTAGTTGAGTCACGGATTTTTACGATATTCGTCAATTGCTCTGAATTTGAAACACTACCTGTATACTATGTGTACAGTGTATAGTATAAGTACATCTATTGCACCGGTATAAAAAGGGTGTATTAAAAAGGTATACATCTATTGCACCGGTATAAAAAGGGTATATTTAAAAGGTATACATCTATTGCGCCGGTATAAAAACTATCAGAACAAGTAAAAATCATAATGGCTAAAAACAAAAATTAAAATCAAACTTATCATTCTACATACTTGGTATTTACACTAATAGTATATTGTATATATATATATATATATATATATATATATATATATATATATATAT